TTTGACTCTTCCCGTCACCGTTGCAACCTCTGAGCGCTCATTCTCCAAGTTAAAACTCATTAAAAACCACTTGAGGAGCACAGTGGGACAGGAGAGACTGAGTGGACTTGCCATGTTGTCCATAGAGAATGAGAGAGCAAAGAAAATGGACATACAGAGCATCGTGGACGAGTTTGCGGAGCGCAAGGCTCGTCGTATGCCCTTCAAATAGTGGTGAGTAGGCCTATAGTACTTCATATTGAAATTGTGTTTGTGAACATGTGGGCCGCTGTGCCAGTTTTACTAAACTTTATAGCTACTGATACAGGCTCTGAGTTGAAATAGTTAAAGTGGGTGTCAAAATGATGCGGTCGCTATCCGTGGTGCTGAACTGCTTTGAATTTGTGTTGTTTTATTGTTAGTGACCATGTAGCCTAATGTTTTTGTTGTTCTCTTGGTTTGTTATACTTCATGTCCATTTGATGGACTTCAAAATGACATAGTCGCTCTCCGTGGTGCCAAAGCTTGTAAGCCCCGCAGTTGCGGGCATGTGTATGTTGTAAAATGATGTTATCATGAACTTTATTATTTGGATTTAAAGGGCCTGGTAATTTGCCCCGCCCCTGGCCCGGCTCTGATTTGTTCCGCTAGTGAATGACTTGTTGCACAAAGGAAAACAATGAGAGCTTGAGGTGTCTGCTCATCAGCTGTACATTAATGCTGATTATTTTTTGAATGTATTTAGAGACTTCTGTCCACCCGGACTCCTGTCGTTTAGGATGAATCCATCATTCTAACTGTGCTGTGGGGCCTACAGCTCTACAGATGCAATCAGGAAGCCATAAGTTTGCCCAGATACAAGGGGTCATCCACAGGATACATACAGTACAGGCCAAAAGTTTGGACACACCTTCTCATTCAATGCGTTTTCTTTATTTTCATGACTATTTACATTGTAGATTCTCACTGAAGGCATCAAAACTATGAATGAACACATGTGGAGTTATGTACTTAACAAAAAAAGGTGAAATAACTGAAAACATGTTTTATATTCTAGTTTCTTCAAAATAGCCACCCTTTGCTCTGATTACTGCTTTGCACACTCTTGGCATTCTCTCCATGAGCTTCAAGAGGTAGTCACCTGAAATGGTTTTCCAACAGTCTTGAAGGAGTTCCCAGAGGTGTTTAGCACTTGTTGGCCCCTTTGCCTTCACTCTGCGGTCCAGCTCACCCCAAACCATCTCGATTGGGTTCAGGTCCGGTGACTGTGGAGGCCAGGTCATCTGCCGCAGCACTCCATCACTCTCCTTCTTGGTCAAATAGCCCTTACACAGCCTGGAGGTGTGTTTGGGGTCATTGTCCTGTTGAAAAATAAATGATCGTCCAACTAAACGCAAACCGGATGGGATGGCATGTCGCTGCAGGATGCTGTGGTAGCCATGCTGGTTCAGTGTGCCTTCAATTTTGAATAAATCCCCAACAGTGTCACCAGCAAAACACCCCCACACCATCACACCTCCTCCTCCATGCTTCACAGTGGGAACCAGGCATGTGGAATCCATCCGTTCACCTTTTCTGCGTCTCACAAAGACACGGCGGTTGGAACCAAAGATCTCAAATTTGGACTCATCAGACCAAAGCACAGATTTCCACTGGTCTAATGTCCATTCCTTGTGTTTCTTGGCCCAAACAAATCTCTTCTGCTTGTTGCCTCTCCTTAGCAGTGGTTTCCTAGCAGCTATTTGACCATGAAGGCCTGATTGGCGCAGTCTCCTCTTAACAGTTGTTCTAGAGATGGGTCTGCTGCTAGAACTCTGTGTGGCATTCATCTGGTCTCTGATCTGAGCTGCTGTTAACTTGCGATTTCTGAGGCTGGTGACTCGGATGAACTTATCCTCAGAAGCAGAGGTGACTCTTGGTCTTCCTTTCCTGGGTCGGTCCTCATGTGTGCCAGTTTCGTTGTAGCGCTTGATGGTTTTTGCGACTCCACTTGGGGACACATTTAAAGTTTTTGCAATTTTCCGGACTGACTGACCTTCATTTCTTAAAGTAATGATGGCCACTCGTTTTTCTTTAGTTAGCTGATTGGTTCTTGCCATAATATGAATTTTAACAGTTGTCCAATAGGGCTGTCGGCTGTGTATTAACCTGACTTCTGCACAACACAACTGATGGTCCCAACCCCATTGATAAAGCAAGAAATTCCACTAATTAACCCTGATAAGGCACACCTGTGAAGTGGAAACCATTTCAGGTGACTACCTCTTGAAGCTCATGGAGAGAATGCCAAGAGTGTGCAAAGCAGTAATCAGAGCAAAGGGTGGCTATTTTGAAGAAACTAGAATATAAAACATGTTTTCAGTTATTTCACCTTTTTTTGTTAAGTACATAACTCCACATGTGTTCATTCATAGTTTTGATGCCTTCAGTGAGAATCTACAATGTAAATAGTCATGAAAATAAAGAAAACGCATTGAATGAGAAGGTGTGTCCAAACTTTTGGCCTGTACTGTACATGCTATTTACATGACACATACTGCAATTGTTTCTAATAAGGAACATTTTGAAGGGTTTGGGCCTCATGACATGTAGACCCAATAAAGTGGCCTGCCGAGGAGCAGTAAGGCGCCACGGTCATATCGTGTTTACGCATGTAGAATCTACATCAAGAACACTTCCGGGGGTAATTGAAGGAATGCATACATTAGTTTGTTTTACACAAACAAATAACCTTCTAAAACTGGAGAAGGAAATGACCACTTTTGATTAGGAGGATGGCTCTGTTTCTCATTATGCTATCAGAAATGATGTTTTACAGGCTATAAAACGTGGAGTTTGGGGGGACAGACGAGAGAGAGTTTTGAAGATTGGCTGAATCTCTCCTCAGATTGCTGCAGAAATCTGAAACTGATATCTTGGCTTGCTAAATAAAAATTCTTTTGGTCCGAAACAAGCCTGTATCAGCGGAGTCTTTTTCTTCACCATCATCTCACCATCTTTTTGATATTGCAATAAGAAAGGCCTGATTAAACTACAAGCTCATCTCAGGGAATATCAGCTGTTACCGAACAGTTTGACAAAACCGCATGTCAACTTTAGCCAACAGCATTTTGTGAACGGGGTGCTGACTTAGTGGATAGTGTAGGTGGCTTTTGTAAAAGGCTGTTACCGCAGCGGCCTGGGTTCGACTCCGGCCTGTGGCACCTTGCTGCATGTCACTCCCTCTGTCTCTCTCCCCCTTTCACTATCTGTATCTTGTGCGTGGGTGATCTAAATTAAGGTCATATGGTATTTCATGATACAATGCGTTATTTGAAACAGTGATTCTGCAGGTGTACGGTTTCTTTAAAGATATGGATGCACAATGCAATGTTTTGAGCATTGGACAGCCTGTGTTACAAGGGATGACCGTTTTGAGTTTTGTGTCTAGAGTTNCTTTAAAGATATGGATGCACAATGCAATGTTTTGAGCATTGGACAGCCTGTGTTACAAGGGATGACCGTTTTGAGTTTTGTGTCTAGAGTTGTGACAAGGAATATCAACGTTCTGAAATTAGAGCTGAAGTCACTGTAAAAAACTGGCCAGCCCATTCAGAGACTTAAAAACAAATAACAGAATCTTAAAATCAATCCTGTACCTAACCAGAAGCCAGTGAAGTGAAGAGAGCACCGGAGTTATGTGCTCGCGTTTCTTTGTCCCAGTCAGGAGACGAGCTGCTGCATTTTGAACAACCTGCAGGTGGTTGAGCTCTGACTGCTCAATGCCGACGTACAGGGAGTTGCAGTAATCTAAGCGAGAGGTAATAAAAGCATGGATCTTTCTGGCTTATATAGGGTTTAACTTTGGCTAGAAGCCTCAGCTGAAAAAAGCTAGACTTGACCACTGAGCTGACCTGTTTGTCTAAAAGCACCATCAATAATCACACCAAGATTCATAGCGTGGGGTCCCATGTAATGTGAGCACACAAGAGTGCACTTTTCTGACCAACAATTATAAACAGCACTGTGCACACAGTCAATGGAGCGGAGCCTGTGTTGCGTTCAGGCGTTGTCATGTAAATAACAAATTCCAGCACTTAATTGGTATTAATACAACACAGCAGCATGTCAAGTGGGCTTATGAGACAGACGGACACGCTTGCTAGTGTGAAATTGGCAGATTTTTGAACTGAGTCTGGTTCTCACTGTCACCCGGAGGCTATTTTTTTCCCTATGATGGTGAAGACATGGCTCACCCTACTCTCCGTCTGATTGGCTAGACAAGGATGCAAGCGTGTCACGTCGAGGGGCTTTCCCAAACTAGACGCCACATGCCGGCTCATGCCTCCGCTGTTTTGTAAGCTCAGCTGAGTGTACATGTTTTGCATTCGCCCTCCCACACTCAACAGAACATGCTGCGGGGATGTTTCAGATCGGTCAGCAGGGTTTGGCCTCAGAGAAGAGAAAATAGCTTGAGCGGTCGCTACCACGCTACGTGATCAGTAAAACAGTGAAGCTATTGAAAAGCTATTTCATTCAGGAAATAGTGACGCTACTGCCATGCTATCGAAAAATGTAGTTAGTTACTATCCATCTGGCATACCGGGCATCATCCCGGTGGGCCATTGACCCAATGTGGGCTGGTCTGGTCTGCTACGTTTTTTAAAAATTATTATTTTGACATGGCCTATGGCGCGATGCCAGTGACCAGAGCGTCAAGTAGAAGTTGAGAGAAGCTGAACTTTATGCAAATGAGCAGCGCCGCTGCCGAAGCAGCAGCCAATTACAGACCGGGATTTGGGTACAGAGGTCTGGGCTCTCCCAGAGCTGTACGAAATTCACCGTGGAGTTGCCATGTTTGCAGGACTCTGTGGACGCAGACGGCCCGACGGCTCCGGGCCCCGTGTTTCCTCAGCAAATACGCTGATGCAACAAAGGAGGCTTCCAAAAGTGCGATTAATGAACTCCCGCTTTTTTACCACCAATTACATTTCTCAGTGGTCCTACGCGCCAACAGGAGAGTAAAATCATAATTATAAAAGACTCATAAAGGCTATGTTGCCTGTGTTTATTAGAGTTATTTTAACTGTGCAATGAAAGTCATGGATAATACAAAGTGAAGACATATATGATATATTTGTTCATCCTTGTAAAGTGAACAGCCTGGACACATCTGCAGCAGCTGGCCCCGCCCCTTTGGCCGCTACAAGCGCCTGCTGGAGCTGCTGCCAGGCAGCGCGAAGCCAGCGACCTGAGCGACCGCTGGCGCTCATGACGCTTTTGGTGTGAATGCACATGATGAGCGAGTGGAGGCAGACATGGTAAGTAACATTAACCTGGGGCTGGCTAGGCTACAGAGCTGCCAACTCTCATGCATTGACCGTGAGACTCACGCAACTGACACTTTTCACACGCTCTCACGCCACATGTCCATTTTCTCACGCAGTGAAAACTAAATTCATAACTGATAACGTTGTGGCATGAAAAGAGGATACTCACACACACGGACAGACAAGACAGAGCAGCAAAATGCAGCAGCAGCACCGTGTTATTCAGGTCATCAGGGGGAAAGCAAGAAATATACAGATTATTAACAGATAATTCTATTATATTGTAATTTATTCCCATGCATGCTGCTCCGAGTAATCTCAGTCAGCATCTCTCCCTCTCCTCTCATGCCGTGCGCACACAGGCAGGAGCGAGTGAGTTACTATGGTTACGGGAATGCTCTGTGTCTCTGTCACTTTCTCACGATTCCCAATAATAGGTTTTTAGGTTGGCATGCCTATGTGTTGCGGTAGCCAGCAGGTACAGTGCTGTGCGTAAAACCTCACTCCCCGACACATTAAGATGCGCACTAGCGACAGACACTCGGGGCCATGGATTTTAGTCTGGATTATGTATGTAACTACCTCAATGCTGAAATCTAGTAATATAATTTTACATTTTTGGTTAACACTATACATGGTTGCTCTTTCTTGTCTTAATCTAAGAGGTTAGGTGGTGTAGAAATGCAGGAAATTTGTTTTAAATTACATGTTTTTTGAACAAATCGCACTCTAAGCTGAAGTCAAAAGTTGGCAGCCCTGAGGCTATATTTTTGAGACATGTCCAAAACAAAGTAAAAAACATTTTTACATTGAATGTGATGTTACCTTTATTGATATAGTCAAGCAGTCATTTCTTCATGCAATGCTTTACCTGCAAAGTGGCCCATGAAGCTTTCTGAGAGCAGAGTGTAGTATTTAGTCTGTTCTTACTCTTTTTAATGGAGAAAATACATTTACAACCATTCAGTAAAGTATCCAATTACATAAAACAGGAGGAAAACATGAACTGTTTTGGATGTGAAAACAAAAGCATCAGTTTTGCCTGATGATTCTGAATTATTAAGGGTCAAATACCTTAAAAGTATAATAGCTGAAAATGTTTATAAAGGTATACATATTTTGATCTGGAGTACAAGACGAGGAGAGATAGGATAGGAAAGGATGGTTATTGTCAGAAATTGTCCAATTTGAGGCTTCAATAAAAGTGCTCAGGCTATTTTACAGCTCTCAAATATTATATTTTTTTCTCAGTTGTTTTGGTGCATTTCTCTGATCAGAATTAAAAGTCTTGTAACTGTTAGTTCAACCTCCACAACATTGAGTCATTTGTGCACATCATAGCAGCAGTTTCTCATTCCTTCTAACAAATTGCAAATGCTTTTGGACATGCATCAATTGTTTTCATACAATTCTCTGCTGTTTTATAACATTATCATTTGCTTATGTCATGTCAGTCAAAATGAACTATACTTATGAATGCTGAATAGTCATTCCCTATAAAACTAATAGTCCTCATTTAGTTGCTTGAGTCATTACATACAAACATGTTCAACTAGTTGTCAAAATCTGTCAAGCAAATTTTATACATTTCTTTATCACTTTTTTTTCCAGACAATGTCGCCTAAATTAAACAATTCCAATGGACTATAATATTGTTTGTGCACAGCTCTAGCCAAAGGGACTTTCTAAGTGTGTATTTTTCTTTTGCACAATGCTGTGAGGAAATTAAATTTGCAAAGAGCATATGCAGTAAAAATGTGAATCGTATGTATTGAGTGTCTTGTACTCAGTTACCTCATTAAATGCAGTAATGTGTAACTTTTACTGTAGCTTTCAAATGGCTGTGCAAATAGTGCTGTCTTGAGCATTTTCGGGTCGTGTCACAAAGATCTGACTTTTTTGCATTGGAAAACACTTAGAGAGTAAAGTGTCATAATGAAAACATGACAAAGCCATTTGACTATCTTTTTCATAAACGATGGTGTCAAGACTTTTTTATGACACGCACACTTTCATTGACATGAATACTTGCTTGCTGCAGGTTATCAACAAGGTTCTGCAGTTTGTACTAATTGTTTTTGAGAAATGCACTAACTGTTGTGCAAATGTTAATAGTGATGTGAGAAATGCTCCAAAGCCACTGAGAAAAACTGTTAAAAAAAAAAAAAACATTGGGTAGAATTGGACCCTGAGCACTATACAAGGCTTAATTATAGCTATTATCTATAGTTTAAGGTAGCATGCTGTTTTGGCTGCGTAGACTTCCTCTCTAACTCTCTGCCCAGATTTGTGGACTTCTACATGGTGTCCGCTGATAATGTAGTGGGCTGGTCTGGAGAGAAAATGCCAGGGCTGAATTTTTCCAAAGGAACGCTGGTGCGGTTGGTTTGTGGTGAGAAGGTGTTGCGACCTGGATGTGAAGCAACTGCAGTCACATGACACATTGTTTGGGTTAAACATGAGCATGTTACAGTCCTGGAGGATTATTAATGTGCACCTCCTCCTGTACTGCCTTAATATGCACATTCAGCACATCCAATGCATCAAAACATTGTTTTCTAGTTGGAGCCGCGCCTC